TGTGCATTAAAAACAAAACACACACACACACACACACACACACACACACACACACACACATATGTTTATATGTAATAATGAAACATATTATACACACACACACACACACACACACACACACACACACACACACATGGGCCCATGCCTGACTTGCTATCTGCAGTGTTATCAGTCAACACTAGTCAGCTCATCCTTGCTGTTCTCTTTTCCTCATTCTCCCCTTTCTCAACTTCTAACTTCTGAACAAGCCCCAGCAAGTTGACTGGACAGCCCTTGAGTCCAGAGGGTCCTCTGCATTCACTGCTGCATTCCCAGTCCACGCTGTGGGTCTGGCAGAGGGATGGCTAGAGGAAGACACTGACCTTGAGCTTGGCTATCTGGCCCACGACTGAGCCCACTGCTCCTGCTGCTGCGTTGACCATCACTGTTTCTCCACCCTTCACGCCACAGATGTCAAGCAGGCCAAAGTAGGCAGTGAGGCTAAGGAAGGAACATAAGGATGTGGGAACAGATTCAGTCTCTCCTCCCCTGTCCCCTCCAGCCATGGGAAAGTTAGGCTTTGAACAGGAGAGCAGCAGAAGGCCAATCAAGACCAATAAATAGTTATCCCTCACTACCAACATGGCTCTTGTATTAGCCCTGAGTTTTAAACTTGACTTGATATGAAAATCCACTGTAATTAACTGAAGCCCCAAAATACAGAGCCAAAATAAGGGGATGAGATAAAAATGAGTTCAGCAGTAGAAAAAAAAAATTGCATCCTTGATTTAAAGCCAATGAAATTCGTATGTATTAAGCCAACTGCAAAATTTCTGACAGATGCATGGTAAAGTCAAGCTGCCTGAATGAGAAATATTGGCACAATTCTAGCCTATTCAGCTTCTTCCTATAGTTGGAGCCATGAGACTTGTTGAGCAGTGACAGGCAGAGACATCCTTTTTCTGAGGACCCACATACTGTCATGAGCTGCCTAACAGCGTGTTGGCCAGTGGCAGACGGAATGTACAGTGATGCTGCGTAAAATGACATCATCTAATGACACTGGAGCTATCTCCGTTTGTTTAAGTTTAGTTTGCCAAACTACGAAGAAATCTACTCATGGTTTACTTTCCAGAGCATCCTGTCATCAAAAGATGCATGCTGCACCTAGCATGCCCTTAATCTAGTGTTTTTCAAAAGACAGATGCAGCACCATCTACCTATCTCAGACTTTTTTTTTTTTTTTTTAAGTTTTTCGAGACAGGGTTACTCTGTGTAGTTTTGGAGCCTGTCCTGGAACTCCCTTTGTAGACCAGGCTGGCCTTGAACTCACAGAGGTCCACCTGCCTCTGCCTCCCGAGTGCTGGGATTAAAGGCGTGTGCCACCAGGCCTGGCTTGACATTTTGTAAAGATAGGGTCTAGCTATATCTCAAGCCGGCCTTCAACACATGGTCCTCCTGCCTCAACTCTCTGAGTAACTGGGATCACAGAAGACAGTTGGGACTCCCATGTCTCCTGTGTGCTACAAAATGATTTCCCACCTTGGCAACACTGAGAGGTGATGGGGCATTTAAGAAGTCAGGCATCTCCGACCCAACTTCTCCCTCTTTCATTTAGTCTCAAGAATAATGCTGGCTGACCTTTAACGGACAAGAAGGAACTGCATACATGTAGACATATAAAAACACATATGCATAGTATGTAGCATCTTTTAAATATACATATACAGTAGAATATCTAAATTAAGCTAATTAATGTACATGATACTTCACATAGTTATCATTTCTGTGGTCAGTACACTTCAAATCTGTCTTCACAGTAATTTCCAACCTTATTTATTGTTATAAATTATACTCATCCTGCTGTAAGACAGATCCCTTGAACATATGTCTCCTGTCCAAATAAATTTAAAAAAAAATAAGAATATGCAGAAGGAAGTGGTGCACACCTTTAATCCTAGCACTCAGGAGGCAGAGGCAGGCAGATCTCTGTGAATTCTAGGCCAGCCTGGTTTACAGAGTGAGTTCTAGGACAGCCAGGGCTACATAGAGAAACTTTGTCTAGAGTTACACCCCCCCAAATAAAAATAAATAAAATCTGCGTCTTTGGACCAACATATCTCTCAGTCCCCATCACTGTGCTCTCAGCATCTATTGGCTCAACTTTCCGGATCCCACTTATGCTGCAGTTTGGAGATGAGCCGACTCCTCCCAAGGCTCTTGTGCTAAAGGCTTGGCTCCCAATGCAGCAGTGTTCAGAGATGGGGGTTTTGGTAAAGTGATTAAACCATGAGAGCTCTGATGTAATCATGCATTAATCCCATGACGGATTTATACTATGATGGCATTATTAGGAGATGGGAACTAGTCAGAGGAAGTGGGTCACTGAGGACAAAGCTCTAGCAAGATACATCTCATCTTTGGCTCCTTCTCGTCTTTCTCTTCTTCCTGGATACCATCAGATAGACAATTCTGCCCCGTCATTCTCCTCATACCATGATTGTCCACCTTGCCCCAGGCTTAAAACAAATGTGCAAATGAACTGAAACCATGGTCCAGAAGAAAACATTCCTCCACTAAAATTCTTGCTCTCGGGTATTTCTCACATAAATAGAAGCTAACACAAGATGAAAATGAGATCATGTGGAATTTGTCTTTCTGTACCTGACTTACTTCACTTAATGTCCTCCAGGTTCATCTATGTTATCATAAATGCCAAGGTTTCCTTCTTTTTAAAGGTTACATAGTATTCTTTTATATATGACATTCTCTTTATTCATTCACTTAACAGAGTCTTCTCAGTTTGAGCGCCTTCCTTTCTTATTCCTAACACTTTTCTCTAATCAGCCTTTGTGCCTTAAGTCTCTCCTGCTGGTTAAGTTATAATGTTAGACATTCTGACAAACAAAACATACCCATGACACTTACCCTGGCATGCCAACTGTCCCCAAAGCCAAAGACAGCGGTAACTTGTCTGGCCACCCTGCAGGCAGTTTTCTCAGTCCTTTCCCGTCAGAAATGGAATGTGATGTCCAGCCTAGTAACGCCACTACAATGGTTCCTGTGGGGAAGGCTGGGTTTTTACTTTCCACAACTCTGAAAGATAAAAGGACAGTAAGACATGTGATATCTTTTCCCATTCTTGGGGGTCAGGATGCTTTGTAGGGAATGTTCACAAGAGGGCACTGAGCTAAACAGTGCATGACTGACACTCTGAGGAATCTCCCCTTAATTCCTAGCCATATGGGGGCCATCAGAGAAGAGTCTCAACTGGTCCAGCACCAATCCCTGTCCCCCTCCATCGTCTCAATTTTATAGCCAAATTTCCTCATTTTCCATTCACATGATAAACCAGAACAACATGCTTCCCACCTTCACCAGTCCACTGAGGTTACAGCCTTCTGATTGCAAAATATAGTGGCTATTCTTTTTTTTCCAACTTTGAATTTTATTTATTTATTATTCATTGTAAGGAGAACACAGGTGTCGTGGCACAGGTGTGGAGGTCAGAGGGCAACTGTTCAGAGTCTAGTCTCTGTCCATCGTAGGTTCTGGGGATGGAACTCAGGTTGTCAGGCTATTCACACTCGCTATCCGACTTCTGTACTCTGCCCGGCGGCTCCCAGGTCACTGGCTTCCCCTGGCCCTCTTTCTTTCCTCTCTAAGCTGCCTCTTCTCTGCCTCATCGACTGATTTCTTGCGGCTCCTCTGACCCATACCTTACTTCTTGACTGCCTTCCCCACAAGCTAGCTCTAGATCACATTTACTTCAGAAAATTTAAATAAAATGAAAATATTAGACTGAAAACTTAGCTCAGGAGTACAGTACTTGCCTGGTATGCATGTAGCCCTGAGCTGGATCACAAGCACCACAATTTTAAGCAAAATTTTTAAAAAGGGGGAAAAATGCTTTAAAAAAAAATCAAACAAAAATATCAGCTATAATCCTATGACATGAAGATAACAGCTAATATTTTGGTATGTTTCAAGGTAATCTTAATGATAGATTTAAAATATATAGTGTATACTTACATAACTGAAGTAATGTTTTACAACCTAATTCTCCCTCAACATTAGATTAGTTTATATATAATTTATATTTTTTGTGTTATTAAGAATCTTAGATCTGGACAGTGGTGCCACACTCCTTTAATCCTAGCACTCCGGAGACAGAGGCAGGTGGATCTCTACGAGTTCGAGACTAACCTGGTCTACAGAGTGAGTTCCAGGACAGCCAGGGCTATACAGAGAAACCCTGTCTCAAAAGAAAACATTTAAAAAAAAAAAAAAAAAAGATTCCTTTGGAAACTGTATAACTTCAAATTGTTTAATTTGATTACTCTATCAGTAGTTTTTTTGACAATATCATTCCTAATGTAAATTACATTTTAACTAATTATTGTTATTTTTTTGAGACAGCAGGCGCGCGCACACACACACACACAAACGTCATGAAGAATTTCATAGAATTTCTACAAAAAGTAAAAAAACTTTGAAAATAGCTGTTATCAGTAGAAGATTTCATTAAATGGAAGAATGTAATGGAATAATCTATAGCTTCTAAAAAAAATATAGATGGTATATTTACACACTGACAACAAACAGGGTAGATTTACTGAGAAAAGCCAATTTGCTGGCAGGCATATAATCTTATTCAAAGTAGAAGTCTGTACTTACCAGGTTTTGAAATAATAGACTAACAGCCAACTCAGGGGGGGACTTTCCATTTCCAGATTTCAATATATTTGTATTTTTACAGTAATCATGAATTAAATCTATAAAGCTCTATTTACATCATTAAAAGTCAGGATGGCAGAGAGGCTACAACGACAATCCTACATCCATGATAGCGAATGTTGTCAACTAGACAGATTGAGAAGCACGGATCAGTCAGTGCTTACCCCTGGCAGGATGTATGCTAGGAGAGGAAGAAAAGAGCCAAGAAAGCCGGGCTGTGGTGGTGCACGCCTTAATCCCAGCACTCGGGAGGCAGAGGCGGGAGTTCAAGGCCAGTCTGGTCTACAGACTGAGTTTCAAGGCAACCAGGGATACATAGATGGGGGGTGGAGTGGGGGCAAAGAAAAACAAAACCAGCTATCAGCTAGCACAGCTCGATAATACCACCACCACCACCACCCTGTGTCTGCCAGGAGGCAAGAAGACTCTCCTAGAGGCTCCTCCTGCCAGGGTCCTTCTCACCTCAGGCTCAGAATCAGCAAAGACAAGGGCCACATGCTGAGTCCTATGAAATGATGAACCGAAAGGAACCATTCCTCCCTTTTAGTCAATTCTCTAAGGCATCAGTCACAGCCACATCATCCTTCCAACCCTCTACGTTAAGAAGGGGGCGGGCTGGGCCTTCCCAAATTGTTTCCTAGTGAACCACACAGACTGGAGAAGGAGCTGTAGGACAGTAGACAGACAGACCGGGCAGGAGCTGGAGGACATTTATCCAAATGCCAAGGCAGGTGTAAACACTTACCTGGCCACTTGCTCACCCATCATCTTATCACCCTCCTTCAGTCTTTTCGATGCAATTCTAAAACAACAACAAACAAACAAAAACAAAAAAACAGATTCATAGTGTGCAAGACTATATGAAGGAAATATCTTGATATCAAGCCAAATGGCACAAAGCTGGGACAAGACAACACGCACCATACCAGGGCAGCACAACCAGTTGAGACACAATGTGAACCCAAAATATGCATTCTATGAATGAATGTGAGAATCTTATCACTCTCTTCAGCTGGAAGTGAGTTTCTGCCTACAATATTCAAAATACAACACGGGCCTGGCTGGTATCTGTTACCCCAACATTAACCACCCCCAAAAGGATGCTAATTACCATTTTGTTTTGTTTAACAGGGTCTTTCTATGACTGGTTTTGAACTGTGGTCTTCCTGCATCAGCTTCTCAAGGTATAAGCTACCATGCCCAAGCTAGTTAACATCTTTAAATGGTATGTTTCAACCAAGAGTTGACTCTTGGCCATTCAGCTGTGGGAAAAAGATTATGTGATGCTTATATTACTGACTTGGGTTAACAGTTTGCTGAAGCACCATTGAAAGGCATTTACCCCCTCTCTGTCCTCCAGTGCTTTCTGAGTCATAAGTTTGAGTCAACTATGAACCACATAATAAGAACATACTGGCGAAGAGAAGGCAAGAGGTGCTGGTTTAAGTCTAAGCTGCTTCTGCTCAACAACTGCAGTAGGAAATGGACAAGTCAGAGGCTAGCCCCCACCTCCCTTCCCCATCTCTCCTGGAGAGGACTGAGCAATGAAGGGTAAACTGCAGAGCGGGCCTCTGCCTGCAGAAGATGATCACCCTTGAATCTCATCCTGGCTACAGTATAGGAAGACTTGGGGGAAAGGCTGCCATTGTAATCATGGCCTATCCTAAAAGATGAGCCACGGTGCTTCAGTTGATGGACCAACAAACAACAGGAAAAACTGAGGAAGACGGCAGTACCTCATGTAAGGATCCACGGAGAGGTAAAGGGCTTCCAGCAGGACCTCTACAAAATAAAGCATCCAGATGCAGTTAGCGACCCAAGCTCTGACGGCTGCAATATTCTGGCATTCTGAATAAACAGGCCTAGTCTTTCCACGTAAGGGCCACCTCTCATCTGTGCTATGCAGGATGAATTTTACTGTGCTGTGGATAGATTCCAGAGCCTTGTGCATGCAGGGGAAACTCCCTTACCATGAGTTTCACTTCCAGCTCCCCACTGAAGATAAGAAGGGCTCTCACATTTGGCCCCGCCCACTTGATGACGATGATGATGATGATGATGATGATGATGATGATGATGGTATGACTACCTGTACTATTTTAGGTGGATCAATTCATTTGATGTTTTCAACTACTGCTCCATCCTATTTAAGGTCAAGTTAAGTAACTTACTATGGCATAGTACAGTGTTCATGTGATGTCTTAGCTTCCTGCTGCAGTGATAAAGATCATGGCCAAAACCAACTTGGGGAGGAAAGGTTTACTTCAGCTTACCTGCCCCAATCAGAGTCTAATATAAAGGGACTTTGGGGCAGGAGCTCCAGGAAGGAACCTGGAGGCAGGAATTGAAGCAGAGGCCATGAAGGAACTCTGCCTCCTGGCTTACTCTCAGGCTGCTTTCTTATATAAGCCAGGACCACTGCGGGGCGCCTACCCACCAACCCCACAGTTCCCCAGAGTTTTCTTGAGTGCGAGCAGCAGGAAATATTAGATAGAAGGATTTAGATTGTGGAGATGAACAGAAAATACAAGAGAGCCTGAAACCTATTCCAAGGGGCCCCAACTGTCTCTGCCCTAGGGTATTTATAGAAACACCAAGGAGTGGAACAAAAGACCTCCCCACCCACCTACCCCCGCCTCACCCCAGCACAGCCAAGTGCAGACCATCTCAGACACCTGCACTCAGGCCCGTGGTCCTAATCATCCTCTATGCGGACCTGCTAGGTGAAGCCATTAGGAACCTGAAAATGGGCTCCCACAGACCACCTGCTCAACACAAACTAACCAGGACACCAAGTTAGTAAAATACTATCAATCAATACAAAAGAAGATGCATTTTGCTAAAGTGACCTTCAACTGTGTACTTTCTGAAACTTTGAATTCAAGTTTTGGCCACTGCCACTTAAACTCAGTCAGTGACTCTGTCATGGGAAGTGACTGCAGCCTGGTCTCAGAAGCTTTCTCACTGTAACACCCTTCAGACATAGCTCCTAGGCTGGGCTCGGCACAGCTGCTGAGAAATGCTTATCTCACCGTCATCACAGGCTCACCGGGACAGAGGAGACTTCCTCCTCTGTCAAAGCCGTGGATAAGGTACCCACGCATGAGCTTCATCAAACACACTGGGGAGGGGGACCCACGATGACATTAAAACTGCATAGAAAAAATAACTAAAAAGGCTTATGTGGCAGATTGCAAATGGTCACAAACCCTTCCCACCGTTGTGTGCTGGCCTCCTGGCCACTCTGTCAATCAAGAAATCCGCTTCCATGGGTTGAGGATGAAGCCCAGCAGTTGCCTGAAATCATGAGGAGGAGGAGGAAGAAGAGGTGGCAGCAAAAAAGGGAAAAGAAATAGATTTGCCAGCCTTTGAATCTGGACAACTTGCCTTGACCCATGGGATTTTAAGAAAAGTCGTGTAAGTAGAGGCTTGAAAAGTCCTTGAACACTGGAGC